CGGCACACACACCGGGTCAGAGTCTCTGGAAGGCTCTGGCTTCTCTCGCGGCAGGCTCGGGCTCTCCGTCTGCGGTGGGCTCATGCATAATCTAAACCATTCCATTCTGACAACCTTGTGAAGTGTGACAACATGCCCCGGTTTAGGGACGCTATAGGTGTTTAATGAACTGAATCAAAAAAAAATTCTTAAGAAACAATGGCTTAAATGTTCAATAATTTTTAAAGCTTTGTGTCTTTACAATAAATTATATACTTTGTAAAATGTGTGACAACTTACCCCGGTCTCCACTATGAAGAAATTAATTCATTTCATTGCCCTTTTGTTTTGGTATTAAATGCTGTATTAAAATTATTTCACTAGTGCATCACTAATGAGTGTAGCGTGATTTCGTAAAATGTGGGGACATCGTCGTCATCATCATATTATTATTATTCGAATTCTCTTTGTTTTTGTGGTAACCTGGCAGCCAAGTGTGATCTCCACCCAAACACTGCATCGCTAACACTGACTCTCTCAGATGTTAGTCGTTGCTGTGATAGTGTGGCTTCATGCGATACGTAATTGGCCTATTACATAAGCACACGGACAACGATCATCCTCTGACACTCGTGCTTCATCAGTTTATGTCCCAACCCTGGGGAATACACACTGATTTAACCGTGTTTCCTTTTGTTTTCACATCCCACAGTCTTCCTCGCTGATGCATACTGCTGTTTCTGAGCTGTGATTGAGAACAGATGTTTTGGCCTCTCGTGGCAAGACACAGAGATTCCTGTGCGCCCCAGAAAACCCTCACAAACACTACTATTGCAAAACCTGACATCCTTTATTACGTAAATAAATGCAAATGTCCAGTAATGTCACACCACATGAGCTGAACATCTAACTTTAGTTCCATATTTGCATCAAAGGCTGTTTTGCATTTCTTTCCATTATTGCTTCTGTTTTTGATGATTAGTAGCAGTAAAATGATCTCTCTGAAACCATCAGATTAAAGCCAGTGTTGTCTATAAATCTTCTCGGCTCCTCAAAACAACACATAATTGCAATAAAATATTTGAATGACTGATATTTGGCACTTTTTTGTGCTGGCGTCTTTTATTCTTTTTTTTGTGGAACATGTGAACTTTTTTTTTCAAGGGGAAAATGTTGGGAAAGTTTGTTCAACAGTGATTTTAACTAAAACCAAAACCTCAAAAAAGAAACGTTTTTGTTACTTGAAATAAAATGTACAAATAGACTGGTTGTCAAGGCAAGATTTCTTATTTTCATTTTGTTACCTTGATGTACTAAAATAACAGACTAAAACTGAAATAAAAATAAAATAAAAACAAATGTCAAAAACACAACAAAATTACTAAAACTTTAACTTAAATTAAAATGAATTCAAAATATGAATGAAAACTATAATAATATCTCAAAACACTAGCTGTAAAATAATTAAAAGCTCAAAAAAAGCAAAAGACAAATATTGCAAAGGGCAAAACAAATTCCGCATTATGAAACAATCAGAAAGCATTTTATTATTTAATTAAAGCTCATAACGTGCAACATTGCATGTCGATTGTATATTAAATATAATTGCATTATGTAACACTCAGTAAAGATTTGTAAAGTGATGTTTTTAATTTTAATCAAATCCACCCACAGAACTGTGAACAATACTCTCCTGTCTAACATGCTATGAAAATGTCCTGCCAAATTTTTGCATGAATTTTTAGACTTGGGCCTCATATAAAATGCTGGCAACAGCAATGCTAACACTTTATTTCGATAGTCGACTTAAGACATTCTACAGTAACTTTGCAACTACATGTCAACTAACTGTTAGTAGACTGTTAGGTTAGGGTTATAGGGGTTTGTAGAATACGTTGACATGTGCTTGCAAAGTTAGGTTAGTTATGTTCAGACTGCAGGCAAAAGTGCCCAAATCTGATTTTTTTGAAAGTCTGAGAGAGACTGAAGCCTGACGAACAGAGATGACGTCCTCTCCAAAGACATGTAGTGTGCCGGAATTCAACAATAAAATACACTATTAGTTTTGGAGCCATCTGCACCATTGTTTCACATTTCTGTAACAGAATGTTAATCGTTACGAAAATATTGAGCTAATATGGACTAAACTGTCCGAAAGAGAAAAACAAAACAGGTGAAGGAGATAAGATAAGTCTGAGGAAAACTGATTTTGCACTGAGCTGGTTTGAGAAAAACATGAAAAATATGTTGTGTGAGGAATAAAACAATCTTTGGATGTCAGGCCTTGAATCCAACCAGAATCAATCCATCCTTTGAAAGTTTATAGATGTTCAGTGTTGATTTCAACACTCATAATATCAGTGGTCAAATAAATGTCAATGATCTTATAAAATCCTCATATTGTGCTTTACTAGTCTGCACAATGTTTTCATCACTTAACATGAGATGAATAGGCGATTCATAGGGGTTTCTCATCACATGCATTCATTTTTATCAATCTTGAAAACGAGCTTTATCATTAGAAAAATGTAAATAAGCCATTAAACATGAAACATTCTAGGCATTTCTCCTTAACCTTTTTTGGCATGAAATGTTCTTTAAAATTGAGTCAAAAACCCCATTTAACCTTTTTTTTCTAAGAGTGAGTTTTAGCAGCAGATGCATGATATCCACAAACATTTTCACATGGCTTTATTGCACAACAAGCTGATGAGTGTCGATACTTAACAATTGATTAGTTCTGCATTGTGTTTCCTCAGAAAGAAAGAAAGCACAAGCTGTTTAATAGTGCAGAAAGTCACAAAAATGTCCTCTTTTGTAGAAGTCTGAAAGGGTTTCGTGTCATTCTGACCCTTTGTAAACTTTTTAAAAGAAGTCACTGCTGAAGATCACATCTCTTTCAAAAACAAAGTTCCCTTAAAACTAATAAAACCTCATGGCTGAAAGAAGCTTTTGCTGTGACTGTTGGAAAGCCTGTGCCTGTCTCTGACCGCTATCATCACATGTGTGTTTATATCACTGCGACCTGCGCTAAACCCTCGCAAGCAAATGAAACGTAGGCCTCTTGCACCATAACATGTGACCTTTGATTATAGGACATGAACATCCTGGGATCTCGCTGTTATTAAGTTAAATTAAATCAACGAGTGTTTTTACGAACAGCAGTTCCACCCGATAATTAAAAAACCTCAGTTTATTGGTTTAATGGGCAAAACCAGTTCATCAATTATCCTGTTATATTTTACTGGATCATTGCAAATATTAAGTTCCCTTCATCATCCTTATGCAATGTATTTTATTTGATTGTTCTTGTCCAAAACTCTCTGAATGGTCAAGCAAATGCATGCAACAAACATCAATTAATAGTGATTCCTGAATTAATAGTGGCACCAAACAGAATTGCACAAACAACTAAAAAGATGTTTGTTGAGAAAAACTCTGAATGTTGGATTGACAAAGCCTTTTTATATGAAATATGACGGTTCTTTGCTTGATGTTTAAGAGTAGTACTTTGCCAATAGGGGGAGTCAGTCTGAATTTTCATGGTCTATGAGATTTTAAACATTTCAATTTGTTAGTTGCAGGGAAATTACACACTTAATCTGTATGTAAAGTATATTATTCAAATGCATATTCAACTGTTATTATAATTTATTACCGTGAATGTTATTTTTCAAAACTCAACACCTGATTGGTGCTAAACTGACCTGTTGGCTTCTTGCTCGATGACAACATGATTGAATCACACCGGGACACGTAGTCATTTATGTCAAGCAAAGCTACTGGGTTACATGAGTTCTGGTTTTTGAAAGATAAATGACGTAATAAATGGGTTTAACACATAATATGATGCTCTTCTTTTGCCATCTAGAGGTGATCTGAATAATCAACAAAAGAGCTGCAAGGCTGGTTCCACAACTTTAACACAAGCCTTTCGTAACTGCTAAAAAAGTCCCGGTTTCTGTATGTCTGGACACAAAAGGGGTTTCGTGTTTTCTGTCTTTTGATCTTATTCTCATGTAAAGGTTGCAGGACATCCCAAGGATTTTGTATATTTCATATACACTTATAGACTATATATGTGTAGTTATCACTTCAATGGTGTATTCAATATTGTGTGTATTGTTTGTTTATTAATCCTAATAAATCTGTATAAAATATAAAGTTGTATACTGTATGTGTATATATATATATATATATATATATATACACACACACACACACACACACACACACACACACACACACACACACACACAAATTCCCATAAACAATAGCCTAATATTCTAATATATAAATGAAAGTTCAATAAAGGTAAAACATTAAAAATAACAAGTCTGCATTTTATTATATTTTTATTTAGGCTATTTTTATTCTAAATTATAACAGAACAATCATCAATAGGTTAGGAATATAAACTTTAAAGAATGCATAATATATAAACGGATATCATTTATATATTTAAAATAATAATGTAAAGCACATCTTAAGTTTGTCCTGAGCAGAGTTGCAGTGTTTGATCTTGTTTATATATTTAAAATAATAATGTAAAGCATATCTTAAGTTTGTGAGCAGAGTTGCAGTGTTTGATCTTGTTTATATATTTAAAATAATAATGTAAAGCATATCTTAAGTTTGTCCTGAGCAGAGTTGCAGTGTTTGATCTTGTTTATATATTAAAAATAATAATGCAAATCATATCTTAAGTTTGTCAGCAGAGTTGCAGTGTTTAATCTTGTTTATATATTTAAAATAATAATGTAAAGCACATCTTAAGTTTGTGAGCAGAGTTGCAGTGTTTGATCTTGTTTACTTATTTAAAATAATAATGTAAAGCATATCTTAATTTTGTCCGGAGCAGAGTTGCAGTGTTTAATCTTGTTTATATATTTAAAATAATAATGTAAAGCACATCTTAAGTTTGTCCTGAGCAGAGTTGCAGTGTTTGATCTTGTTTATATATTTAAAATAATAATGTAAAGCACATCTTAAGTTTGTCCTGAGCAGAGTTGCAGTGTTTGATCTTGCGAGAGTGAGGAGCGATCACGTGCTCCTGTTGACTGCAAGTACACGTCAGCGCTAAAGACCTCCTCATTCTCACAGCACTTTCTCTTCCTGTTTGCAACTTTGTTGCACATGACACTTTATCTGGGTGAGTAGCTCGCGCTTTACAAACTACGACATTTGCGACAAATCATCATTATCGCGCACTTCGCTTTATGAATCGCGTGTTTATTTCGCGGGTTCAGATGACAAAACTCATTCATGAACTTCTCTTGACAGAACGATGTTCGTGTTTCACCTGTGAAAATGTCCGGATTATGCCCACCACAGACGTGTAACAGCAGTACATGACCCACAGTTTGCTTTCCATGCTGCTTTGACATTGAAAATGAGGTTACGGTTGTTGAAAAAGAACTTTATTGTGTTCCTCGTCATTTTAATTGTCTTTATAATGTTGTTTTATTCCATTAAACGGACTAAAGAGGATACAAACGTGGTGGTGACTGAAAAAGACAGCACTCAGGCTACTGTACTAATGGGGAAATTTGAGTACAGCAACATCCAGGATATGAGGAAGTTCATCTATGACAGCAACTACAAGCAGTTTATTCACAACAGAGACAAGTTTCCATTGGAGCCGGAGATGGTGGTCGTCGTTCAAGTCCACAATCGTCCGGCGTACCTCAAAATGCTCATTCAATCCCTGGAAAAAGTCATTGGCATACAAAACACGCTTCTGATATTCAGCCACGACTATTTCTCAGAGGAAATCTCTGATGTGGTCAAGGGAATCACTTTCTGTAGGGTCCTCCAGATCTATTTCCCATACAGCACTCAGCTGTATCCCAACGAATTCCCAGGACAAGATCCTCGAGATTGTCCGAGAGATATTTCAAAGGAGGATGCCATTAAAAAGGGATGTTTGAACGCGGCGCACCCGGATTCGTACGGACACTACAGGGAAGCGTCCATCACTCAAACCAAACACCACTGGTGGTGGAAACTGCATTTTGTGTTCGAAAGAGTGCGGGTTCTTCTGGGATACAACGGATACGTCGTGTTCATCGAGGAAGACAACTATCTTCTCCCTGATTTCCACACATACTTCAAATCCATGACCGAGCTTAGGAAAACCAGCTGCGGGGACTGCGACGTCCTCGCGTTAGGAAACCACAACGGTTTATCCGGATTTCACGAGTTTTCCAGCAAAACCGAGACGACATCATGGCTGTCCACCAAGCACAACATAGGAATGGGAATCTCCAGAGAGCTCTACTATAAACTGATGGGATGCAACAATGCGTTCTGCACCTATGATGATTATAACTGGGACTGGACCCTCCAGAACTTGTCTGGTACGTGCATCTCAAAACCCCTGAAGGTCCTGGTGGCTCGTGGAAGCCGGGTTCTTCACACGGGCGACTGCGGCCTGCATCAGAAAGAGGATTGTCGGCCTGAAATGGCTCAGGAGAGGGTGGATTCGGCACTTAAAGAGGCACATTCGGCACTTTTCCCTCCTGCACTCACACTGACGGACCACGGGGCGGTGGAGCATCATCCTCACCAGAAGAACGGAGGCTGGGGGGACGTTCGCGATCACACGCTGTGCATCAACTACGCAGCTCGACTTTGAGCTGGACGCTTCACTGTGTGCCATTCAGAATATCAGGGTTGCAGGTTGAAGAGTTTGCTTTCACCAAAAATGTGAGCTATCATGGTATGTGTGTGTGTGTATGCAAAAGGAAAAATCTCTTTGAAAGTAACAGGTCAACTTTTCGCCCCAAAATGAATTGCTTCTCAATGTTTTTATTGTAATTCCCATACTGAATTTTTTTTTTTTTGTATAATTGACAATTTTCACCCAGAAATTGCTAGTAAATTTCACAAATAATTACAAACAAACATTGAATTAAACATGAAAATGTTTTTAGTTTTTTATGAAAAAAGACTGAAATAGTATCTATGTTCTTGTAAAACATATTTGCAACATTTTCCACAGTGCATCAACTTTAAAAAAAGATATATATATATAGATAAATATTATAAATATTAATATATAAATATTTGCAAATGGAATAATGTTGGTGCATCTCATGAAAAAAAAAAAAAAAACAGGTCGGCTTTTCACCCCAAAATCAATCAATTACTTCTGAATGTTTTACATACCATTTTACAATTAGTGTTTTTTGCTAATTCCAATACTGAAAAAATGTTTTAGTACAGGACTTACAATTTTCACTCAACACTTCACAATAAGGTTTCATTAGTTAACATCTACATTAATTAACATGAACTAAGAATACTTCTACAGCATTTATTAATTTCAACATTTACTAATACATTACTCAAATCAAATGTTGTATTTGTTAACTTTAGCTAATGCACTGTGAACTAACATGAACAAACATTAAACGGCTGTATTTTATTAACTAGGATTAACAAAGATTTTAAAAATACTGTAACAAATGTATTGCTCATGGTTAGTTCATATTAGTTAATACATTAGACCTTATTGTAAGGTTTTACTGAGATTGCTAGTAAATTTCACAAAGAAACACTAAATTAAACATGATATTTTTAAGTAAAAAGATGTATTTACAACTTTTTCCCCAGTGCATCAACTTTTACAAAAATTAAATTAGCATACATTGAAGGAAGTACAACAAGAACTACCATGGTAAACAGTTTACAATTGAAATACCAGTAATCTATCATTGGTGTTTTGCATTATGATAATAATGGGGAAATGTGCTTAACTGTGTTGAAAATAATGTCACAACACTACAATATATGGTACTGCAAAAACATGTTCGTGCATATTAGATAATAATATAAAACATCTCTCTTGTTGATTAATTTGACTTTGTGGTGAAAAGTGAGCCGGATATGTTTCACGAGGTCACGACTTTAAATATTACTGACAATATTAAACATTTGTCATGAGGTTTAAGTTGCAAAAAACGTGCATGCATATTGTGTATTGCAATTGCATGCATTTTAATAATTATTTTCCATCACAAATCATAAACCTTCCAGTGAACATCTGTTTATTGTTTTGTTGTTCGAATGTAACATTCCTTTTGTCTTCCTTTGGGTCGGTTTCTTTTTTCCTTTTTCTTTTTTACATTGGGGCATATTTTGGTGGTATATTTAGATATGTGACTTATGATTCAGTGATAAATTGTAATGTGCCTTACAAACATTCTTTAATTTGCATATGGCATATTGCATATTGCATATGCATTTGTGGTTTCCCCCTGTCCTTTCTAATTTGGGTTAGTTTTTCTTCACAGACAATCATTTCTTCTTTTTCTGACGTCAAGCTACTTTGGTGCCTTGCATTGTGTTTAACATCTTGTGTAAATGTACATAGATGACAGGAATGATCGTGCAGAAATGTTGCTCAGTATTTTTTTAAGTTTAAGGCCCGGTTTCACAGACAAGGCTTAGATTAAGCCAGGATTAGGCCTTAGTTCAATTAGGATGTTTAAGTAGATTTTATGAAAAAAAACGACGTGCATCTTGAGACAAAACAATGACACTGACATAAGATATCTCCGTGCAAGTTGCTTTCTATTAAACTGCTCAAACATTCATTTTAGTCTAAGACTAGCTTAAGCCTCGTCTGTGAAACTGGCCATTAATCTGGATTTACTGTGAATTGCCTGCAAGAGTCTATTTATTTTCTCAGCATTTAAAGGGACAGTTCACCCAAAAATGAAATTCTGTCATTATTTACTCACCCAAACCTGTATACGTTTCTTTGTTCTGCTGAACACAATAAGAAGATATTTTGACGAATGTTTGTAACCAAATAGTTTTGGACCCCATTTGACTTCCATAGTATAGAAAGAAAACACTATGGAAGTCAATTGTGCCCCACACATATCATATCATAAACAATGACAGAATTTTAATTTTGGACAAACCTGGGGTCACAGCAACACAAACTTTCCAGGGACAGTAAACTTCTATAAGTTGTGAAATGCTGACATGTATCCAAAGATATTCACCACTTGGAGAGTTTCCAAGGTCCAAAGGTGTTTTGCTTTTTTCAGCTGACCTTCTCTGCGTGATCCTCTGTTTCCTTTCGGTGATTTCCGTTCTACGTTTAAGGAGGAAAAGCTGACATGCTCAAAAGAGTTGCCAAATGTTTTTCAGTGGGAATTGATCTGAAATGCACTCTTTTCTTGTGTTATTGAGCGTGTACTAAAGTGTGTATTGCTTGCTCTAGTGACTGTTTTTCTTTTGTACGGGTAAGAGAATGATGCAGATATGTTTGTAAATCTTTTGTTTTCCTAAAACAAATCGTAATGCTATCTCTAAAAGCCATATTCATTTTTTATCTTTTAGCTTTGAGCCAAAGATGCATTGATCATGAGCAGTCGGTCAGGAGTTTAAATACCGAATCACATCTGTGTAATTCTGTGTTCTCTGATGTAATAAATTTATGAATAAGGGTTACTTCTTTTGATGACTTTGTTTCCCAAATATAATTTTAAAACTGAATTTGTATATAATATGTTGTGTATTTTTTATATATATATATATATATATATACACTACCGTTCAAAAGTTTGGGGTCAGTGAGAATTTTATTTTTATTTTTTGGAGGAAAGAAATCAATACTTTTATTTATCAAAGACAGTAAAGACATTTATAATGTTACAAAAGATTCTATTGCATACAAATGCTGTTCTTTTGAACTTCCTATTCATCAAAGAATCCTAAAAAAAAAAAAAACTGTACAACTGACAGACCAACAACTGTTTCAACATTGATAATAATAATAAATGTTTCTTGAGCATCAAATCCTCATATTATACTGATTTGTGAAGGATCATTTGACACTGAAGACACTGACACTGGTGATGCTGAAAATTCAGCTTTGATCACAGGAATAAATTACACTTTACTATATATTCACACAGAAAACAGCTGATTTACACTGGAATAATATTTAATACTATAACTGATTTTTGTTGTATTTTTAATCAAATAAGCGCAGCCATGGTTAGCAGAAGAGAATTCTTTTAAACGTATTTAAAATCGTACCGACCCCAAACTTTTGAACGGTAGTGTATATATATATATATATATATTGCATTCTGAAAGTTTTTTTTAATGATATATAAAAATATTAACAGGTTTAATTATGTGCTTGATATATTGTTCAGACACTGGCAGTACAGGAAAATAATTCATATGAATTGTATTAATATTTTATCAAACTTTCAGATGATTTTGTTTCTGAGGAAGGAGCTTATGGCGCTTTTCCATTACCACCAGCTCGACTCGCCTTGGCTCGCTTTTCGCTCCATTTTCCATTGCAGAAAGTACCGCCACAAATAGTACCCGGTCGTCATAGCGACGCCTTTCGTTCCTCGTTGCCCCATCAAGCTCTCGCTGGATCCTCTCTTCGGCAACCAAACAAAGGAATGTCTGCACCTCCTCGTTTGACCACGGCGTATTCTTCCGAGTTGCCATAATAATAGTAGTAAGTTTAGTAACTATCTCTGGCCAAACTATTTAAAAATGGCGGGGTTATTCTGGATACTCCAACTGGCGCGTGCAATGATGACGCAGTGAATAGTGACGATTCTCTCTGACCAATCAGCAGTCGGCATTGTTTTCACGTCACATTTTAGTATCGCCTTAGCTCGCCTCAGCTCGCTTAGAACCTCGCCGGAGGTGGTACGAAAAAAAGTACCCGAAAGCAGGTACAGGTACAACTTTTACACAGTGGAAAACCAAACAAAGGCGAGTCGAGTCGAGTCGAGCCGAGCCGAGGCGAGCTGGTACTGTGTAGTGGAAAAGCGCCATTATTTGTGAGTCGCTTATAACCAGTATATTTCTTCAAAGTGAATCAAATGATGACTTTTTTCATTTGTAATGATATACACTCACCTAAAGGATTATTAGGAACACTATACTAATACTGTGTTTGACCCCCTTTCGCCTTCAGAACTGCCTTAATTCTACGTGGCATTGATTCAACAAGGTGCTGAAAGCATTCTTTAGAAATGTTGGCCCATATTGATAGGATAGCATCTTGCAGTTGATGGAGATTTGTGGGATGCACATCCAGGGCACGAAGCTCCCGTTCCACCACATCCCAAAGATGCTCTATTGCAGTGTTTCCCAACCCTGTTCCTGGAGGCACACCAACACTACACATTTTCCAACTCTTCCTAATCGATCACACCTGATCAACTCCTCAGCTCGTTAGTAGAGACTCCAAGACCAGAAATATATGGGTCAGAAAAGGGAGACATCCAAAATGTGCACTGTTGGTGTGCCTAAAGGGGGCAGGGTTGGGAAACACTGCTCTATTGGGTTGAGATCTGGTGACTGTGGGGGCCATTTTATGTACAGTGAACTCATTGTCATGTTCAAGAAACCAATTTGAAATGATTCGAGCTTTCTGACATGGTGCATTATCCTGCTGGAAGTAGCCATCAGAGGACATAAAGGGATGGACATGGTCAGAAACAATGCTCAGGTAGGCCGTGGCATTTAAACGATGCCCAATTGGCACTAAGGGGCCTAAAGTGTGCCAAGAAAACATCCCCCACACCATTACACCACCACCACCACCCTGCACAGTGGTAACAAGGCATGATGGATCCATGTTCTCATTCTGTTTACGCCAAATTCTGACTCTACCATCTGAATGTC